ATCGAACCCGGGCCGCACGCATGCCAGGCGAGCGCGCTACCAGTTGAGCCACATCCCCAGCCCCAAAGAACGATTTTTTWAAATGCCTCTCAGGAAGGAATGATGAACCGACTGGACGGTCCTTTWCTCATTCTTATTACCAAAGCAAGACTTGGTCGAGAGAGAAGGGTTCTGGGTGGCCCCATTTGTTCTAGCACATTCTGGTAGCCAACTTGGGATGGTGGAGGAGGGGGGCTTGCTGCTGTAATCCCCATGGCTGTGGCTTTCCCTCGAGCCAAGGTCAGATCCTAAGCCACCAAGTGCAGCAGCTCTGGGCACAGGAGGCCTCCTGACCCCTGAGAACTCAATGCCCACCCCCTGCCTGGCTGGTGCAAAATAGTCCCTGGTGAGTGTGACCAAAATGCAGCTTCTGGATCCTCCGCAGGAGTCTAAGCCCCAGGGTCTGGGACAGGCTGGGAGAAGCTCAACCACAAGACTGGCCATGGAGGGGCAGGAACCCGAGGAGGTCTCCACRGATCAGTACTGCTCTCACTAGGATGAGTCAAGGGCATGGGGGGCCTCTGGGTCCCACAGCTGGGGTCCAAATCCCAGCCCCACCATCGGGCAACTTCCCCTCTCTGGACCTCAGTTTCCAAATTTCCAAATCTGTAAAAATAAAACCCGCTGATAAAGCTGTGGAGATGGCCGATGTCATAGAGCAGGTTAACAGGCAGCTGCCCCCAAGTGGGCCCTCAAGAAATGGTTTCCTGCTGCTGCTGCTTCTGCGGTGGCTACCAGACACRGCACCCAGATGAAATGGAGGAGGATGAGACCCGGCAGCCACACGGGCCTGGGTTTAAACCCAGGCTCTGCCACCCCTGAGCTACCCGACCCTGGACGGCCAGTGTTAGCTCTCTGAGTCCACCTGGTCCAGGAATCCAACAGGAGTAACCAAACAGCGCCAGGCCCTGGGCCTTCCCGAARTCAAGCGCCCTGCACCCAGCAACTGTCACGAGGGGGTGGCCCTTGCCCTGCTCTGGCAGCACCAGGGAGGAACCTAAGGCTGGTTCCCCCCTCCACCCCCACTCAGCCCCACCCAGAGCGCAGGACCCCTCTGTACCTTCTCGATGACCCGATCCCCACCAAAGCGTGTGACAAACTCGGCCGGGGAAGCCACGGTGAAGTCTCTGTGCGCATCCAGCTTCTTGTGTTCCCGGCCCCTCTTTACCAGGTGCAGCCCCGACATGCTCGGCCTGCGGAGGGAGACGCCATGAGGGAGGGGACAGGGCTCAGGGAGGGCGTGGGGACTCTGCACCTGTAAGTCCCACGTCGACAGGGAAACCAGGTGCACCAGAGCCCCCACCCCACAGTCGCCTCCAGAGACCCTGAAGCAGTTCACCAGGAGGCTCAAGGGCAGAAAGCACCACCTCAGGAGACCAGCGATTGAACTCAGAGGTGCGACCGACCCCTTGACTTGCCATGCCTTAAATTCAGTTTTAGTTGACATACTATAATTTAGGAACTCAAATACTAAAATACTCTCTACCAGGGATGGGTGTTTTATGATCAGGGAGGAAGGCCTGTGTTCTAATATTTCAGGCTTGTTAAATCTTCCTTGAACTTGCTGGGCACCAGGGATGCATACCTGTAAGTAATCTCAGTGGCTCAGGAGGCTGAGGCAGGAGGATTGAAAGTTTGAGGCCAGCCTCAGTAATTTAGCGAGGCCCTAAACAACTTAGTGAGACCCTGTCTCGAAATTAAAAAATTAAATAAAAAGGGCTGGGAATTTAGCTCAGTGGTAAAGTGCCCCTGGGTTCAATCCCTGGTACCAAAAAAAAAAAATCCATGAATTTTTTTGTATGCATATTTCAAATTTTAAGGAAAAAATACTGAAAACAATGTTTTGAAATCACAACAAAATAGAGGTCCTTTGCTTTGCCTCTCCAGGCTCTCACACCAGAAGAGATCACTGTTGATTCTTCCCATCTCTTCACACTAGCAAAGTATGTAATAATAGGCRTCCTCAGTCGCCCATTGCTTGATGAGGGGGAAGCCTTTGGAGAGGGGTGTAGTTAGGCGGTCCTGCTACCATGCAAACGTCAGAGGGTGTATTTGCACAAACTAGGCCAGCACTAGGTAAYGATCTCACGGGAACCTCTGACATATCAGTGATCTGCCATTGACTGAAAGGTCATTATCTGGCATACAACTATACTCTTAGGAATGGTCCACTGGAGACATCATCTATGGCCTCCCCATCTTGAGAGGTTAGAATTTAACTCTTACATGGGTGTCCCAAGGGGTTTCCCTTCGCTGGATCCTTAGACCTCCATTTGCCTTTCCTCTGAATTAGAACCTCAGAGGAATCTCTGGGGGATCAGCGGGTTCCTTCTTTCTCCATGACTCCCTTGTCTTGCTGGAGCATATCCTCTAGGAGATTTTTCTGATAACAAGACAGGATGATGGCAGGGCACGTGACAATGACACTCTCAWCGTACCTGCCCTATTCTTGGGTGCCCTGAGTCTCCTGGTCACCACCCCCCTGGAGACGCCCTTGGATGCTGTGTTGGACCCATCTTCTATGAGGCTTTTCCTTAGTTTACTCTCTGGTTTCATTGGATGGCATCCTTAAGTAGCTTTCTAGGAAAGGGCATTTGGTGGGTTAAGTGTTCTGTGGCGTTGCATATTTTAAAATGTCTTTCTTCGGGCCTTCATATTCAACTCTATCATTTGACAGTGGGTGGAATTTTAGAATTCCTCTTTCAGAGTTTTGGGAGGGAGTATCATCTTCATCCCATCCCTATTTTGTGTTTTATTTAGAGACAGGGTCTTCCTAAGTTGCTTAGCACCTCGCTGTTGCTGAGGCTGGCTTTGAACTCGCGATCCTCCTKCCTCAGCCTCCTGAGCCACTGSAATTAGAGGTGTGTGCCACCATGTCCGGCACCAGTCCCATCTTGTCATGACTTCTGAGGTTGTTTAGATCCTTGATTGTGTGTAGATAACCTATTATTTCATATCCAGAAGCCTGGAGGATCTTCTCTGTTGCAGGTAGAGGATACCTTCATGGGGATGAGCCCAGGTATGTCTGCTGCCATTAATGAGGCTGCAGATCCCTGAATCTGCTCTGATTGTGTGTGCACTGCTGGGGACAGAACCCAGGGCCTCGGGCATGCTGGGCAGGTGCCCCACCACTGAGCCCACCCTCAGCCCTGATGCTCAGTCTGGAAATTYATCTCCTAGGACTTTGCCTCCAAATACCTCCTCACCTTCCCCACTTTCCTTGAGTCCTCTTGTTGGGGTGCTGACGTTCCTAGCCTAGAGTGCATCTCCCCCCGACTTCTCCTCTACCTTCTTCCTCAGCCTCCTCTTCTACCCTGCTCTCACACAGTCAGCATCCTGGGGTCTCTTTCTCTACAGCAGCCTGTTCCGTGGGGTAGCGTCCTGCCTGAGCTCRCAGGGTCGGGGGTGACAGTACTTTCCACTCCTCTGGCACAGTTTCTACTTCTCCTAAGTTTCCCGACTGAGGCTGGTTTGCCTGGGCTCTGTCTTCCATGTTAGAAACTGTCCCCAAGGGCGGGGGTGTGGCTAGCAAGCCCCAAGCCCTGGTTCAAAAGACGGAGGGAGGGAAGGGGATGGAAGGAGTCGGCAGGCACCCGAAGGCTGGTGAGCTCTGGTCACACTCTCGTGACCACGTGGGAAACTGAGCTTGGAAGCACTGGGGGGCTGCTGGGCCAGTCTGGTGGCCCGTGTGCTGGGGATGTCTCAGAGGCTTTCTCCCTCTCTGGGCAGACTCCCTGGGGAGGTCTCCGGGTCTTTGGCCCACACCACGGAGGCCAGCAGGACCCTGGGCACAGGGCAGTTCTGAGGACTACACACRGGGGATCCAGGCCCAGCCCTGCAGCTCCACCCACCCATCTCCAGTCAGACCCCTCTGCTTGTCCCCGAGAATGCTCCACTACCCTCTGCCACCTTCTGCTGGGGTCAGAGGGCATAGCCAGCCAAGGGATAACAGAAGGGACGTGAGACTCTTCACCCCATCCTTCTCATTTTAGTACCACCCCCTCCACCCCCCTTCAGCCCCAATTCCACACGCACCCCATGTCGCCAGCCCCTGTGCCTTTTGGGGGTTCCACGGCACAGATCTGGGGATGGTGGCAGGGGGTTCCCAGCTTTCTTGGATCTGCTAATTCAGTTACCACTTGCTCATCTGCTTTCCAGCTCCCAAAATGTTGGTGCTAATCTCCTTTCCTGTTCTCCAGGGGTGATGGGTTTTCTATCTCATTGCTATACAAAATTACACATAAGAGGTTGTGAGGGGAATGGGAAAATAAGCAAGGAGAGAAATGAATTACARTAGATGGGGTAGAGAGAGAAGATGGGAGGGGAGGGGAGGGGGGATAGTAGGGGATAGGAAAGGTAGCAGAATAAAAAAATAAAGAAAATATAGTATATATATTCAATGGAATATTACTAAAAAATAATAATAATAAACTAACAGCCAGGCACAGTTGTGCACATTTGTAATCCCAGCTATTGGGAGACTGAGGCCGAAGGATCGCAAGTTTGAGGCCAGCCTCGACAACTTAGGGAGAGACCCTCTCTCTAAATACAAATTTAAAAGGGCTGGGGGCATACCTCAGGGGTAGAGTGCCCCTGGGTTCCCTCCCCAGTACCCGCCTACCTGTGTACCCAAATAAGTAAATAAATAAATCTCATTGCTGTCACTTAGAGAGGTTCTGATAGAAGCAGAATAAAGCTGCACACTCAGTCCAATCCATTAACCTGCCGATGGGGTCCTTGGGAGCCACCCCCACCCCAGGAATCAGGTCAGAGGTTAACCACCAGAGGTCTGTGTGGCAACCGCACCATCAGGCATCTTGGGAGGCCAGGGTTGAATGGATTCAAGGAGCCAAAAGTCCTGGTAAAGAACTTGATCCCAGAGATGACCACCAGCACGCCACTGGCCGCTGTCCAAGCAGGGGTCAGCAAAGCCAGGAGTGCATGAGCAGTTGGAAATTGGAATTCCATTTTATAGATGGGCAAACTGAGGCCCAGCCAGGTCAAAGAGCCGGGACCCCCGCAAGTCAGCAGGCCTGGTGCTCTGTGCCTCTTGCACAGGGTAGGGCAGAAAAGTGGCGTGTATGTGGGGATGTTTCTGCTACGTAGAGTCTCCATGCCCCAGAGAGTGCCCCATGGCAAAGCCCTTCCACCTTCCCAAACCTGTCACCTGCCACCCACGCCCCAGTGGAGCCACCCAAGACTCTGCCTGTCAGAAGAAGAAATGGGCTTCTACGCCTCAGGAACAAAGAGAGAAATGAATGACTGCAACCCTTGAAAAGCCACAAACAACAAGATATGGTTTTTCAGGGCTGAGGCATGGTGCCCGGATGACGACAAAGCAGTGGCCAGCAGCTCCGGCCTGGAGGTGGCCTGGCCCCCCGCTGCTGCCTCACTGGGAGCAGCTCCTCTTCCGGGAMCTCCTGGGGCAGGACTGCTGAGGAGGCCGGCTTCACACAGGTGCCGGGGACGGTCATCATCATCGTGCCAATGTGAGGAGTGCTTTTGTCACAGCTGCCCTCCAAAGCCCCTGCTTACGAGGACAGGCAGAGGTGGCCTGAGGGCTATCATCTGCAGGCCCCTGATCTAGGCAAACAGAYGCCAAGATGTGAACAGCCCTCATGTTGAGGCGGCGGGGAGGCAGTTAAATACAAGTTCTCTTCTCTTTGCCAAAAATTTTTTCTTACAGATATCTTCTATATGAAATGTAGGTATTATTTTCTATAAGAGAAAAAAAAAAAAAGCTGGCTGGGCACGGTGGCCGCACACCTGCAATCCCAGAGGTTCTGGAGGCTGAGGCAGGAGGATCGTGAGTTCAAAGCCAGCCTCAGCAACTCAGTGATGCCTTCAGCAACTCAGGAAGACCCTGTCTCTACATTAAAATTTTTTTAAGAAAGGGCTGGGGGTGTGGTCCAGTGGTCAAGTGGCCCCAGATTCAATCCCCGGTACCAAAAGAAAAAAGCTATTAATTTTGTAAYAGAGACACCCAAGGCCACAGCCTTCCGGTGTCCCTTGGGCAAGGTGCCCGGGTATCGCGTGTCTAAAGTGGTGATGGTAAAACATTCCTCACTAAAGAAAGCCATACACAGAGACAGGGATTCAACAAGGCCCTGAGGATAAACCAGCCCAGAAAGTGAGGGTCGGCACCTGTGCGGTAAATGCCAGGACACCGGGAGGCCCAGACACGGCTGCTCTC